AGAGCCTCAGTCTGGGAGCTTGTGTATAGAAACAAGATGGCAGAGCTTCCCTTGTAAGTAGGAGAGTCTCTAAACTCTTTTCCCTTTATGTTCCACAAGGTTCTAGGAGGATGTCCCAAGGCCAGCATGGGGCATTGCTGGTGAGCAAGTAGGAAACCTACTAACAGGAAGACTCTAAATTCTGCAGGGTATGCCACCACGTAATGACATGAGGCCATTCTCTGCTGCATTCTCCTTTGAATCCAGGGTAGTGGGTGGACTCCTGATGGTCATTATTCAGCCACAGAAGTGAAGTCTTGGTTCTATGTAAATTGCTTAATTATCTATGAATAGAGTCACAACCCTCCTGATCTTCTCAGGTTTATCTCAGATGGTAGGCCTGATTAAGAACCACAGACTCCCCACATTAATGATTGGTAACCACAGGCCATGTGATCTGGGCTGTCTAGGCAGAAAGATGAGGAGCTGCAAGGAAGAGGCAAGCAATAATATAATTTGGTAATGTTCCCTGTTGAGTCACATGAATTGTGAATTCTGATGATAGACTGTCTTTCACTTTAAAATGATTGTGGGTGACTGGAAATTTTCTTTAAAAAGAAGATAAATCTGAATGATCTGAATGTTATTTTTCCCTTGACTTTAAATGATCTCTGCAGCATAATGAAGCTTTAGAAATCAATTATAGCCTAATTACACGGCAATCCCCGGATAATCGCTCGTCTCTGCAGAAACGCATTCTGAACATGGAGCTGCCAGATTGGTTTCATTGGAAGAAAAACAATTATTGTTCATTTTGGAAGGTGATTAAACTGAGTCACGAGGAGTGTGAGATAGTGTTGGTATTTCAGTAATTAAACGCACTCTTCCCTCGCAAGCTCATTAGTTCAGGAGTGTGTTGGGTTTTCCACCATTGACCACTGGCATTTTACCTAAAGGGCATCTCCAACCAGGGGTGGACTGACGACTTATGGGGCCGCCGGGCAATAGGGGATCATGGGGCCCCTGTGTCCTTGCCCACATCCATAAAAGCCTACGAAAAAGCCAATGAAAGGTACCAGGGGCATCGCATGGGGCCCCCTACTAACCCAGTGCCCAAGTGCTCAAATGGTCAGTCCGCCCCTGTCTTCAACCTAACATCTGCATACACCAGCAAACCACACAATATAGGTATGCCTTTACCTGCTGATTTGTAAAGAATTCAGACTATCATGCTTGTTTTGTTTCAAGCACTGCTATATGCATTGACAAACCTCCTTTAGACCTTAGCCTGTCTGGCCAGTATGGTCACCTGCCGAATAGGCACTGTCAACAGACAGTTCAGCTCTCCAATAAGACATGGCAGTTTAGTTTTAATGGCTAAAATGTAGTACATGAGATGTTCACTGGTCATTTGAAGTATAAAGTCACAAGAATCTTCTCAGCCTTATGTAACGTTGGTAGCTTACTTAGGGAACATGATGAAGAAAGGAGGGGTTTATCTAAGTACTAAACCAACTAGCCTTGACATACAGGGAATCGGGATTATACCATATGAAGACATAAAATAACAAGTTGTAGTTACACTGAATTGCTGCTAGATGTCAGCACCAAGAGATTATTACATACATTATGAAATCCAATGCAACTGTAATGGATACACGATAAGGGCTCCTGTACACGGGGCATTTGGAAAACTGTTCTGAACGACGGAAACTGACTGCTGGAAAATGTAGGTTAAAAAACGTAAGTTTAGCAACGTTTGCATACCGCATTTATGCACGTTTGCGTTTAGAAGCGTTTTTAAAAGATAACCTCAGGAGACCCTTCCAAATGCCCAGAATGCACTGAAAAACAGTAAATAACTATTTCAGACATTTTTTGAGGAATAGAGAGAGCAGAAGCAGAGATAGCAGTATGTGTTGAGATGACCTGTTTTTTCTGGTTGTATTCACTATGGATCCCATCATGAGCATAATGCGGCACATTCTACCATTTTTTCCTTCACGTGAAACCTGCAACTGACTGCGCTGGTGTACCAGGTCCATTTGAATACATGAAAAACACTTTGCATGCATTTCTGATGATGAAAAAAAGGCTTTGGACAGCATTTGGGTATGGAACAATTAAAAAAAAAAACGCTTCTAAACGCAAACGCTTATAAATGCAGTTAACTGCGTTTACAAGCGTTTACACACATTTACAAGCGTTCGGCATTTGAAACGCTGGTAAAATCTACTTCTGAACGCAAGTTTGGTGCGTTCAAAAAAACGACTGTAAACTTAACTGCCTATAAACAAACTGTAAACGAAGATGTGTACATGGACACATAGAAAAACATTAGGGAGAGTTCAGGGGCTGCTGAAAAATATGCAGAGCAGCTCCGGAATGCAAGTTTAGCAGCTGCAGTGTACATGAGCCCTAAGTATTCCAGAACAATGCAGGCGAAAATAAAAACTGATGAGATAACTATTGAAGTAAGCTGTAAATGAATTACAGTTTTTTCTGGATATGAAGGGACCTACAAGAGATTCATCCAGCCAAAATGTCCCCAGAGGTCTCTTCTTCAAGGATCTGCTCACATCCTTGAAATGATCTCCAATGTGCCACTGGGTTCCCAAAAACAAGTAGCAACTACAGCTTTCTGGAGGCTTTTGTGGCTAATCTACTCTTACCCTTTAGCCTTCCTGTTGGCCAGCAATGTCACCTACTGTCAATAAGAAGATAAGGAAGGCATGAGGAGGCAGGTTAAAAGGGTTAATGGACAGCTGAGGTCATGATTTGTGCCCCCCTGTTGTGAGGATTTTTTAAGTGAAGGGAGGATCGTCTAAAGATAATAGCACTAAGGATCTTTAATAAAGAAACATGGAAGCCATCATTTTTGAAAACACTAGTTGTTTGGCTAATATGCTTATCAACTGGTGTCAATACCTTATGAATCAAATAGCTTGGCATGATGGCCATCCTTCTAACATTTTTAGAAGGAGAGGTCAGCAATGGCAGACTCCAAGGGGTAGTGTCCTGTTTCACATGACTGTCATATGCCTTTAACTGTTTTCTATATTTTGTCTCTGCTTCTCCCTTTCCTTTGGTTTAGTTAATGCTGTATAGATAGCCCACACCCTTCCTAGTAATGCATTTCAGCAAGCCTCATGTCTCAGAGCAGAGCAGAGCACATTATGATCTTTTGACTTATCAGATGTTCATTGTTGTAAGATTCTCTCAGTTTATGGAATAAACTTCACAAAATCTACAAGATATCATCTCGATTGAGTCACTGACTGTGGTATCCAACTGAGATTGGAGTTATCACTATCTCATCACAGCTGTAAGTTACAGAGATCACACTTTCAATGCTTAGATTGGAGAGACAGAACAGGTAGATTTACTAAAACTGGAGCACTCAGAATCTGGTGCAGCTGTGCATGGTAGCCAATCAGCTTCAACTAACCTTTGGCAATAAGACCTGGAAGCTGATGACTGGTTGGGCAGGATTTCTGTAGGTGATAACCAGGGGCGGACTGACAACTCATGGGGCCCCCGGGCAATAGGGGATCATGGGGCCCCTGGGTCCTTGCCCAAACTCACAAATGCCTATGAAAAAGGTACCAGGGGCATCTCATGGGGCCCCCTACTGACCCCGGGCCCCCGGGCAGTGCCCGAGTTTCCAAATGGTCAGTCCGCCCCTGGTGATAACTATTGCTCCCATGAGATAAGGCTGGCCACTAATAGTGTGCATGCTTACACTCACGGGCCACTGTATTAGGTATACCTTGCTAGTGCCAAGAAAATATCCCCCCCACACCATTACACCACCACCACCAGCCTGAACCGTTCATACAAGGCAGGATAGATCCATGCTTTCGTGTTGTTTATACCAAATTCTCACCCTACCTTCTGAATGTTGCAGCAACCAGTCTGCCCATTCTTCTCTGACTCAACAAGGCATTTTCAGCCACACAACTGTCGCTCACTGAATATTTTCTCTTTTCGGACCATTCTCTATAAACCCTAGTGGTAGTTGTGCGTGAAAATCCCAGTAGATCAGCAGTTTTTGAAATACTCAGACCAGCCCGTCTGGCACTAACAACCATGCCACATTCATAGTAGCTTAAATCCCCTTTCTTCCCCATTCTGATGCTTGGCTTGAACTTCAGAAAGTCGTCTTCACCACATCTACATGCCTAAATGTATTAAGTAGCTGCCATGAGATTGGCTAATTAGCAATTTGTGTTACCAAACATTTGAACAGGTGGACCTTATAAATTGGCCAGTGAGTGTATGCCCAGTGGCGGACTGACCATTCGAGAACTCGGGCACTGCCCGGGGGCCCGGGGTCAGTAGGGGGCCCCATGAAATGCCTCTGGTAACTTTTATAGGCTTTTTTTGAGTTTGGGCAAGGACACATGGGCCCCATGATCCCCTATTGCCCGGGGGCCTCATGAGTTGTCAGTCCGCCCCTGTGTATGCCACAACTGAACAGCACTCATCTGATCACCATATCATCTCTGATGATACCTTTAACCAAGAATTTTTCCAATACTCAAATGCACATTGTTATAAAATAAATATATAGGTTCTGAATCCTTTGGGATCTAAATGTTGATGTATTATTCACTTTAACTAAGCTGTCTGTTTTTTGGGTTTTTTGTTATCTTCCTCTGCAGTCAATGATTTGACATGCCCGTGCTGACAAATGTGATTGTTGTTGTTCAAAATCCTCCTTTGCCTTGTTTTATGAAAGCTTTTAGCTGCTATCTATTCACACAAATCTTCCTATTGTGGTCTGTGATCTCTCACAGACCGATAATGAATCAATGATATTGACTGTTAAAGCTTTAGAATACCTTATGTTGTAGAACAGAGGAGATGATATGGGGCAGAGCCGAGTGGCAGCAGCAGAGATGGACCAAAGGACATAGATAGCATTACAAATGGAAGTGTAATTCAACTTATATCTATAGTAAGTTAATCCAACTGTATCCACAGGTACCGTGGACATATTCCAACGGAGGCATTCACCTATGGAGATACGTATGGAAACACCACAGCACGCTGCTTCCAGGATTTCCGTTGCTCAGCTCTCAGTTCAAGCCAGAGTCCATACTGCAAAGGGGGGCAGTTCCCTACCAGCTACTCTAATGACCCTGCACTGGTGCTGAGTAGTCGATCCCGGGGCTGGGACAGGTTCTTATATAGTCCTGGCTGGTCCCGATACCACGTAGACTATAACAGGACCCAGGAGCTGGACCAGTTCAGAAAGGTTTGGAACTCTTTACTGCACACATAAACTACACCATCAGTCTAAACACACTTTTTGCAAATTTCTCAGATAGTACATGGTAAAATAAAAGGATTTACTGCTTGTCATATTCCTTTGTGGCAGTACAATGGCAATAAAGTATTATATCTTATATCTTACATGCTTCCATCAAGCAGCATGTAGTACCCATCTGAAGACATTCCTACAGAACACCAGCCACTTTTGAGTTTGCTTTTAATTTGATTTGCTATAGTCACCTGAAGGACAACTTACCAGTTCTCTCCCTTGCTGCCCAGAAAATGCTCCAAATCCTCCATGAGGATGACATCCAAAAAGAATTTTACCTATTTTTTAAGTCACTGGTGGGACTTATGCCCAGACCGATGGGATTGTTATAAAATAAGCCCCAGCAGCCTTAAAAGTTGAAACTCCACTGGAACCCTTTGGGGAACAGAGGTTGTATTAGGGACATAGGGGCTTGTGCGCTTTGAACATATACAACCATGGTCAAAATATGTAGTCATGGACTTTGTGTGGACATATAGAAGAGAAAGTGAGTACCTTAAAAACAACTTTATTTATGTACCATTTAAAATCTATTACACAACTTTAAAAATTACTCTCCGCATAGGGTTCACAAAATGCAAAGATCCTGTTTACAATTCACATGTGGACTCGACGCATTGCAGGAATCCTTAAGGAGCATATGTGACAGAATCAGTACACTGAAACCCACTCCTAAGTAATAGGGTAGGGTAGGGTGGAATTCTTAGCATGTGCATGTTGCCCATAGTGGCGAATCATTAGATCAAGGTGAAGCCACTGCCTCTTGGATGAGAAATTCAGGTACATTCAGTAGACAGTCAACAGTCTTGTATACATAATCATAAAAAAGAAGGACCAACTTCCCAATGGAGAACCATCCAGGCCCGATGTAAGTAAGGCACCGTAAAGAGAGCATGATAGTCAATATAGTCAAGGCACATATATTCCAAAGATGGGGCTCTTGATAGGTATCTTAGAAACAAACAGAGTTCACATCAATCCAGCCTGGAAATTAGGCTTGTTGTTAATTTCTTACTGATTCACAGTGAAATAATACAGTGAACTAATAAGTAGTCATTTGGACCAGTTTTTTCTCAGGTGACTATCATACTGGGCAAAGCAAATACTCAGCCATCAGAGCAAATAGCAGGGGTGTAATCTTTCATTTTTTATTATATACTCAAATACCCATTAAACCAAAGTCCTCTCACTTCCTATTTGGGTCACTACATAGGGAGTGAGACCAAATTTCTCAAGCAAATACAAATCGTTTCCAACCCTTTACTCTGCAAAAAGTGTTTTAGATAGAGTTCATCTTTAAATATTGATTGTTGCTATGAGAAAACAGTAGACCCAGTGCAACAAATATACTGGTGACAAAAAAAAGATCTCATTGGTCTCAAAACAATCAAAGGTCAAGATTGGTTAGAAAGACCAAAAAGCAAAAAATGAATGTCTCCAGAGCCAAGAAAATATTGATCATTGGAGGGTTAAAGAGTAAGTGCACTTGCACACTTGCCCAATGCTCTACCCCTTAGCAGGGGCGGACTGACAACTCATGGGGCCCCCGGGCAATAGGGGATCATTGGGCCCTTGTGTCCTCACCCACACTGAAACTACACCCAAAAAAGCCTATGAAAGGTACCAGGGGAATCTCATGGGGCCCCCTACTGACCCCGGGTCCTCGGGAAGTGCCCGAATGGTCAGTCCGCCCCTGCCCCTTAGGGTCCCTAGCAAGTCTCATACTTGCCTCTACCGTACAGCCTCTACTTAAATATCCTGTGTTCCACCCTGCTTCTTCTGCACATCCAAATTGCAGCCTCTATTGATCACAAAGGAAACTTCCTACTTTTCTGTAAAGAGCAGAGGTCATGGGAAAGACATTTGGACCAATACAGGTCCAAGCAACTAATCGGGCTGCTGAGGAGGCATTTGTAAGCGGCGTTGATGAATTGACCCCAGGGACAGAATGGGAGTGGCTCGTCTTTGTGACTTTAACCCCAAGTCTAGCAAGCAGGCAAAAGATGTCTCCCGTATATACAGACCTTCACATACCCTTTTAGCTACTCATTCCAAATATGATGTGGTCAATTAGTCCTTATTTTTATCACTGTGTTCATGCCCTTGCACCATGCACACTAATATGCTCTTCTTCGTTTTTAGAGTGCTCAGCAACACCGAGACCATTACCGAGACAAAACTGGAACTGTGCCACAAGTGCCCCACTTCATCTTACCTGTGAAGAATGAGGACAGTTATCCTCTACCCCAACAATGGTAAGATTGTTAAACAAGAAAAGTTTTGTATTCAAATTATCAATTGCATTCCACATAGTTTTACAGTAAATTAGGTTAGCTGCTGCACTCTACAGGTATTCTGCCAGCTTGTGGTGGGGAAGCAGGGTGTAAATTTTCACATTAGTTCAAATAATAGAGCCTATGCCATGATGACACTGCATTATCAATAATAGGCATGTCCTTTATCTGCTTACTAAGAATAGATAAAACTTTGCTGATTAAGAGTGTGAAGCAGAAGGGGTCTCAAGACTCAAAATGGAGTGTGGCATGCAGATGTGAATTGGTACAGTGATCCAAAGAAAATGTCATGCCTTTAACTTCCTTTTGAGTGATTGCCTCCATGTTTAGGTCAACCATCAATGTATGATAACCTGGTGCCAAGTCATGAAATCAGGTAAACTACAATCATTCAAGGAGGATTAGTGGGTGGAGGACAACAGGATGTCAATGTAGGCACAGTTGAGGATTGAACCCATGACCTTTGGTTGACAAGACCAATGCTTACCAATTGGTCACTATGCCCATTCCTGACCCTTATGTGTATCCCTTAGCTGTGGTTCCCACTGCTGTGACTTGGCATGTGACTTGCTGTGATGTGCGACACAGAAAGTCGCGTGACAAGTCAAAACACATTCATGTCAATATGTGCAGTTTTAATTGTCACGACTCAAGTTGCAGCGACCAAAAAAATAGTTCCTGCATTACTTTTCTGTGTCTTCCTTGCAACACGAGTGCCATAGACTGCAATATTAAAATCCCAAAAGTCACAAGGAAGTCATTTATTTGTGTTATCTTTGCGACTTAGGTTGTGAGTTCAGTGGCTTTTTTTTACCAGATACTCCACTCTCATTCCATTTTTTGCTATGTACCTGTGGCTCAGCCAATCCCTACAGCTCAAAATTTCCTTCCAAGCATTGTCATCTCCCAAAGCACATTGTTCACCTAACAAGAACATTGTACAGCTGTGTCCACAGTGCAGGAAAGATGGCTTTCAAGAGACTGAGGGATGTTCTAAACAATGAACAACTCATCCAAGTTGTATGTGAGCATCCTGGAATTTTTGATACAAGGGACCTGACCTATAAAGATCAAGGCAAGGGCGACTGAGCATAGTTAGAGGTAGCAAGACTCTACCATGAGGATTAGAAGCGCTTTTTGGCCACAGAACAGTCTAAAAATGTAAGTTCAGTAATACTCTGTATTAATATGATTGGCCAAAGCAAAGTTGCAAAACATCAAGGCTGCATGAAAGTAGCAATGAAGTCGCAGCAGTGTGAACCAAGCTTTATTTGTAGTTGTATTCAGGGAAATGTGTATATACACAAATTGTATGTGAACAGCCCAGGCACTGCCTGGTTGTTACCTTGTTTTTGATCACTAATTTCAAACTTTGTTCTTTTATTTTTGCACCTCCAGTTTACAGCTCAAATCCGATTGCACTGTTACCTGATCTTCTATGTCTTTCATTTCCAGTCTGGTTTAAACATCTTGGCTTTGTCTCCCTTTTAAATGCTTGCCTCCATGTTTAAATGTTCCATCCAAACATAGTAATCTGGTGCTAAGTCATGAGGATCAGTGAATCCAGGGAAACACATTTTAGTCATCCTAAAATGATTCCTGGGAGAAGACCAGCCACACTAGGTCAATGTAGGTACAGATGAGGGTTGAACCCATGATGTTGTGTTCACAAGGCCACCACCTTACCACTTAGCTACTGCACCTCAAAGGCAATGTGGTTTACTTGTATGTAGTCAGTGACATGCATGTACTGTATAATTACCTTGTTTTTGACCACCTTTTTTGCCAGTCACAGCCCTGACCAGGCCTTGGCAATCTTTATGTTCTTGTAAATGCTACCACCTAAAGGTCTAAACACAATTGAAATTTCTCACAATGTACATATAACAAGGCAGATAAAATTATTTATTTAGTAAAGAGTAGTTACTGCCCTATGGCTGTGCAAGATTTTAAAGTATTCTTCTGCGCACAAGCTCATGTAGCACTAACACACAAGTGTCAAACTGTGGCCCTCTACTAACATGCCTCTGCCTTTGGGAGTCATGCTCTCTACTGTCAGCCATGCAACACCTCATGGGATTTGTAGCTGGAGTGCTGCAGTTTGACACCTCTGCAAACACATACAGTATCTTGTATAGGTATGGTAAGTGCACTCAGGTTCCTGGCCATGGCCCAACTGTCATTATACTACTGCTTAATCTATTGCGCCCTTTGGTTTGGTTTTACAAACTATATCATCCATGAATGGTTAGCTGGGGCTAAGGTTGGGATTGAACCCATAGGCTTTAAGTTATGAAGACCAACATCTTGCTGCTTTGCCACCTTCAGAGATTTGTTTAGGCACTTTAAATCAGGCTGTTACAGTCTATATATACTTGTATCTATGTATAGTATGTATTCAGTAAAATTTGAGTATATAGAAATTGTTCTTCACCACTTTTTATCCACCACCAAACTTATTGTTTCTAGGTTTTTTTTACCTCAAATTTGTACGTTTATTTCAAACTTTATACCCATATGTATGTTCTTTCAATTTACA